ATATCTCAGCAGTTTTGGATATACTTCTTGGTTGCCTCCATGAGTTGGAAGTTGAAGGCACTGTGGTTTAGTTTTTCAATGTGTACTTGCACACTCAGCTCTGAAGAACAGCACTGGGTGATTGTGCTTCAACCCCATGGAAGCTGAGTTATGTGGTGCTACAGGGCACTATCTTGTTTCTAATGCTTTTCAATATCTACATGACGAGACTGGGAGATTTGCAATCTCAGCAGGAGTTGTGACACAAGATATCGCCAGTATGCCAGTGACACTCAGTTCTGTTTCTCTGTGACAGCCAAATTGGGACAGCCTGTGCATGCTCTGAGATGGTGTCTGGATGCAGTTAGGACCTGGATGAAGGCTAATTCACTGAAGCTGAATCCCAGTAGGACAGAGGAGCTATGGGTAGGGAAATTTCACATCCAGGAACGGAGGCTGTTTGTGTGACCTGGATGGGCTTCCATTCCCATGCATGGTTTTGGGATGCTCCTGGATCCATCTTTGTCACTGGAGGTCCAGGTGACCTCAGTGGCCTGGAGCACCTGCTACCAACTTCCTTTGGTATGCCAGTTACACCTTTTCCTGGATAGAGATAAACTAGCCATGGTGATCCATGCACTGTTTCCTTAGAATTAGGGTACTGCACTGCGTTCTTTGGGAGGTCACTCTTGCACCTGGTTCAGATGCTGCAGCCAGCACAGAATACGGCGGCTCGGGAGCTTGCTGGGATACCTAACCCAGGTCACATAAGACCTGTGTGAAAAGAACTGCATCGGTCACTATCACTCACCAAACAATTTTCAAGGTTATGTTACTGCCAACCTTGCAGTTCAAAAGCATGCGAATGCAAGTAGATTAAAAAAAGGTACCACTTTGGTGGGAAGGTAACAGTGTTCCGTGCACCTCAGGGTTTAGTCATGCCGGCCACATGATCATGGAGACTGTCCGTGCACAAACGCTGGCTCCCTCAGCTAGGAAATGGAGATGAGCACTGCCCCCAAGAGTCAGACATGACTGGAATTTAATGTCACCGGGAAACCTTTACCTTGACCTTATTGTTAAACTGTTCTGAGACTTCGGTAAGGGACAGTCTAGAAAAGTTATAAATGAATGCATGAATGAATAGTAGTAATTGAGCAAGCACAAATTGCTGGTTGGCTTTGCCTGAGCCCAATGTCTCTCAACCCAGGCTGAGTAAAGCAGCATTAAGAAAAGCATGGAAATACGAAACCAAATGAGTGCAAGCATCATGACGCATGTGACCTGGGGAACCACTGGTATCTGGGTGTTCATTGAGCAAATACGTGACCTGCAGTGCATTAATGAGACTGTATCCCTGGCTGAGGAATGGAGTGTGCAGCACAGCTCTGGGAGGAAGTGTTATTCACCTCTCCATCAAAAGGATGGAAAAAAGGTCTGCCTGGCCTGGACAGAAGATCAGACTTGTCCTCTCCTGAGATGCAAAGAATTGCTTGAACGGGCCAGTGAATGGATGCCCAAACAGGTGCTCCACAGGTTCAGCTTTCCTAATCACTGATGACATATGCCAGCAAGATAATAATAAACACCTGGTAGAGCTACAGGATGAGTTACTGGGGCATTTCCTTTTCAAACAATATGGAAACTCTCATTTTTAAAAAAGACCCTTTCAGTATACGAAAAAGAATAATCCTGGAAATTCAGTCAAATTGCAAAATATTTTTTCATTATAAATTGCAACTTCGGGTACTGCCTTTAATTTCAGGTGGACAACCTGTGATCTGCCAGATGTCCTAACATGGAGTGCAGCAACCTCTGTAGCACAAGCTGCCCATTCCTGTCTTGACTCATGCCCGATGAGCACAAATATGTACTATGACTACAGAATGGTGTATATAATATGCTCACTTAAAGTTTCCATTTGCATGCACTTTGTAGCTTTAATCTCTAATACTCAGCACTGCAGTTCTACTTAAGCTATAGCAATTCTTTCAAATTTGTATCTGTATGTATGACTTGCCTGTACAATTTTTATACAAGTCTCTGTCCAGCTTTGTCCTTTTTTTTCCTTTTGGTGGTATGAGTGATATATTTCCTTTTTTGGGGTAATGTGTAAGTGGCTATCCTAAGCTCTGTATCAATGTTCCATAACAATATTTTAAAGTATTGATCCCAATGTGAACAAAATGTTGTATAATTTCCCCCTTTACCATGCATAAAAATAGATTTGTTTAGTAGTTTTGTGTCTACATTGGCCTTTCTCTTAAAGAAAGAAATCTTCAAATACAGCAAGAAACCTCATCCCTCATTTCCAAGACAGATTTGAATCAAATTTCTGTGCTATTTTTAAGGATAACACAGAACTGTTTTTAATTTTTTAAAGGGAACTCAGTGATGTTAACTTTTAAAATGATTGATGATTTGTGAGATTCTCAAAATGAACTTGGATATGGTGTCTTTCTTAGCTAAAATATTGGTCTACATCCATCAATATACATTTATTTCCATAAGTCAAACACCTAGTTACATGCTACTACAAACAAAAATTTTGCTGAGTGTCGTAATGTTTTCTTAAGCTTTCCGTGATTACATTCCTCTAATCATTACTCCTTGAAGAGTCTTTGTGATAGTAATGGTAATGCAGCATTATTGGATTATTCTCTGATTATACCCTTTCATTCGATTCTTATGAGAAGTTTGTTATGACATGTGCTTGTTCGTAACACACTGAAGTATTGAAAAGCAAATTTATGTGCCATAAAATTCTCAAATTAGACAACCCTGTACCCTTTGGGTATGTGACAAAAACTAGATTAGGTACAGTGGGAATGTGAAGCATTATTTTAGGTATGGTTTTCTCTTTTGAAATATACTAATTTACCTATTCTATTATGATGAAGTTTTTGTCTAATGTAAAAAATAGCTTGCCGACTGTAGGAAATATTTGGAACTACTAACCAACTTTTGTGCACATAAGGCGCTGCATATTTTATTACAAATTACATATATTTGAAACACCAGTAGAAAAGAAAGCACACAATGTATTTACACACACTACACATTTACATATATTATATACAAATAGTGAATTTAGTCAAATATATGAATAAAAAATAGAAATCTAGCAAATATATCAGTATGAAACTGTACATGGCTTATTCTCATCTTTTAGCATGATTTTACTGTAATAATAAATACAGTTCTATATTTACAAATTGTATCTTTAAAAAAGCTTCTCCAAAATGAATTTTAACATTTCCAAGTTAAAATTTTTGAATCAAAGCATTTGAAGTAGTTACTTATAAAAATAATATGCATAGTAGCCCATTTTGTTCTGAAGTTAATCTAATATTCATTTTTAATATAGTCAGTCTTTTGACTTACTCTTTTGTGTCTCAAGCTTGTATACAAAAGTAAATATAGACATGTGTGGAACCATTTTAATGACATTAAGCAGCACTCCATAACCGAACCACAGTTTAAAATAGCTAGATAAACATGGAAATAAGTACTGTGCAATGGTCCAGTGATCTTTTGTTTAATCCACAGTAAATTTAAGAACAATTCTCCAACAGCATGCTTCCCTGCTTCAAAATCTAAGGTGATGCAGGAATGTAATCATCATGCAGCCAGTTTGCGTGTGTGTGTGAGTGTGCGCACACAGTTTCTGTATATGTTTATTATCTTTTGCAAGGTTTATGTCAAGCAGTAAATTGATGCAACATAGAACTGAGAATACAGATGTCTCTACCCACACCATCCCATGTGGCTCCTTCAAACGTAACTGCTAATGTTAATAGGCTTCCTAATACGAAAGTGTATCCTGACTGCTAGCAAGATCTGCAAGGACCGGAGGTCTTCAAATCATTTTTTCCCCTTTATCAGGAAACACTGAACTGTGCACTCCTATACAAGTCTGCTCAGTCTAACTGAATTTGGTGGGTCCTACCACTAGTTAAATGGATATAGGATTGCCATCTGAACAGTGACCATCAGGTGCCATGGGAAAAGTGGGAGCCACAGGAAAATTCAAAGCCCCAACTATGGCCTTGGGAAGGCTCTCACACTGGTCCATGCTGTCCACATCTTCAAAGAGTAAGTATTGTCCTTCACTTTCATACATATTGTGCAACAAGAGCACTGAGGGCAGTTCAGATGTATTGTGTATTACCTAGGATAGATGCATCTTTCTTATCACTCTCTTATCTTTTACTTTGCAAGACAGTTCTTTTAAATATTGTTAGCTCCTTAAAAATCAGCTTCACTATGATGACAAATGGATTTAGGAACGTTGAGTGTTTTATTACTTTTGGAACTTGCCTCTTTTGTATTTGTTGTTTTGCTCAGTATTGCAAAGAATCAGCTGGTACTGTAGACATCAATGGGTTTTGCACTTTTTACAAGACTGCTCTAAGCAACAACGGATTTGTGTGTGTAGCAGACTGAGTTAGTATCTGATGGCATTTCAGAATGCCTGTTTTCACTGCCATTCAATGTTTTTGACACATGCCATAGGTGTAGGCATTTCTTTTTCTCTCTTTGCATAAGAAATTCATGCACGTTCATTTTAGCTGAGATTGATAATTCCGTAAACAGGATAGGTACTTTTGAAAGGAAGCTAATGGCATGGGACAAATGTTACTGAGTTGAGGTCACAGGTTTCACTTGCTCGATAGGAGGGCGACACTAATGACTTGTCGGCAGCAATGTCGTATGATATCCTGGTACCTGCAAAGGTTACCAGGGCCTGTGTTGAATCGCACGACTGTTTCTCTGCATCCTCTGAATTAACAGAGACCAGGCTGGCATGCTTGGATGCTTTCCAAGAAAATGTCTGCTTCTGAAGACTTCCTAGGTCTTCCTTGAAATGGGGATTAAAAAGGATGTAGAGAAGTGGGTTTAAACATGCAGGTAGGGGGACAATCACTAGGAGTATGGGCTTAATTACTTCTGGGCTGATAAAAGTAAGGTTTAGTAATGAAGAAAATGATAAGATGGTGACAGGACAATAGAGAATGCAGTTAGTGAAAAGTAATAGAGCGATATGCTTGACCATGGAGCAGTCCAAAATATTGTCCAGTTCTCCCTTGTCCAGGCTACAGTAGAGTTTTGTATAGGCTACTGTCATTACAAGAAAACAGAGAGAGTTCAACAAGACTAGTGCTACCATGTAACCCACAGCAGTGGGCTTCCCAAACGGTAATGGTATGCACAGGGGAGAAACCCCATACTCACTCCCACCCAGTACCGGTATCACTGCAACAATTAAAGCCAACCCAAAGCAAAAGAAAACAGCAATTCTCATGCTGGCAAGGGTAGCTTTTGTCTCAGACTTGGTGGCATGTTTCACAGAGAACCCGCGCTCAAGAGCTGCTAATGTGAGCAAGAAAATGGAAGCCTCGGAAGCGAAGATGAAGAGGAGGCCAATGGTGTGGCAGCCAGCCCCACCCTCCCACCAAGCGCCATACTTAGCAAAGACCCCGAAGGTGAGTGCATCCACACTGGCCAGCACGCTGCTACACACGCCCATGAGAGTGTTCACTACAGCGATCAGTCCAATTAACAGCTTTATGGAGGAGATGTACGGCGGAAATCTGAAGATGGTCACAATCACCAACGCATTGCAAATGAAGGCCAAAACCACTATGGTCCACACTCCTATTCTGATGAGCCAACTGCCAAAGAGGTAGTCGCAAGGCTTGAAAGGTCCTGCAGTGACAAGACAGGAAAGCATAGTGATATGAAGTTCAGCTTGTGGAGTTATAAGTCATGTACCATTTCCATTCCTCTCTCTGATTCCTGTACTGAGGAAATGGAGTCAACTATCTCTTGCTATAAACTCTAATTTGTTGGTATCTGAGTCTGGAAAATGGCAGCTCTCTAGGCTTCCTCTTGCCTGCTCATGAATACCTGCTGCACCATTTCTTATTTATTAAAAGCATTTTACACCATCCATTAATAAAACCATAGAATATGAAAAATTCCAAACAAACCTATATTAAAACAATCTAAAAGAGTACAACAATATTTTTATTCATTTTACTCTATTTTAATCCACCTGTGTGGGCTTTTATGGAAAAGAAGGCTTAGCTTCTCCATCCAAGGAAACAAAACATTGTTATCAGATTTGATATCACACTTATTTTGCTATAATTAATATAGGAAAATATATGATTACTACCCATCAAGCCCACTGACCATGTCAAATCTCCAGTTTTAGGGAATGTCTGTTGAACGGGAAACCAGGTGAAGCTTGCATCTCATCCCAGATTTCCACGCAATGTACTAATGCCAAACAGCCCTGTCTTTTCTTTTCAAGTGAGTTACAGCATGAAGTGCCAGTGCCAATTCAGCATCTGGATGTGGGTGAGGATTAGGCTATGGCAGAATGACTGAAGTAGGGGCGATATGAAAGACTAAAGTAAACATGGTCAGCAAAGCTTGCAATCTGAGATAGGATTTAAGGATATTTTCCCATTAGTGCTTGCTTCTTGTGGTTGTTATGCTTTTTAGCACTGGCAGTCTTGGATTCATTGCTATACTTGGCTATGGATTTGTATTCTGTCTAGCACTGGCCCTTTTCAGACCTTCCCATTTCCCACATGGCTCCATAAAATGTTTGGAAATACACAAGAGAGGATCTTAAAGTGTTTTAAAAACAAGCAATGTTCCCCCTGCCCCAGGAGCCTGACTAATACAGCAAGATTTATACCGGGGGAAGGAGAGCATTGTACTGAATGATGAGCTTTCAAATCTTCATCAAAGTCAAGAAGAAAATCTTCAAAGTCATGATCATCTGTAGGAAAGAAGACCACAGCATTCAGTCACTTAGATAGTGGACGGTATCGCATCTGTAGCTACAAGAGGATGGTTGTGACCATTGCTGCCTTGATGACACGGTTTAGAGTTCCAAATCACCCTGTTAGGATCTACTGACTATTGAAATATTATCTCGGGGGAGTCAACATGGGCTGAGTTCTGAGGTACCACCTGGAGGGTACACAGAGAGCTCCTCACAGCACCAGCCAAGTTGGGCACCTCCTTCCCATGGGGCAGCATTTGGAGCATAATGGAACATTTGTGTTTCATGTAGAGGAGTGGCTGCTGTGCGCACCAAAGACATCAGGCTCTTTCTTCATTATAAGGATTCCCCTCCCCCAGAGGCAGACGGATCTGGACTACTCCTCCACCTCTCCCTTTCATTTGGGAAAGAGGGCCAAAGCATCTGTAATGTTCTGCACATGTATTCTGTGACATACAGAGTTTTGAGAGGCTGTTTTTGTGTTCCTAGTAGCATTCAGGGTGGTGGTGGGGGGGCAGGGAGAGAATGCTATCCTGTTCAATATTTCCAGATGATTTATTTATTTACCTGTCCTGTAACTAAGTCCATGTCTCAATTACACATGCCTCTCCTGTTTATTTCTCCTACAATTTTATTTCCCTTTGTGTCATCTTTTACACAATATTTTGTTTGAGGCAGAAATCTCTTATGATCTCCATAAAGCAACATTCACACTGATGAATGTTACCATCAAAAGTTTTTGGTGGCAAATACTGGAAATGTTTCAAAACAATAAAAATACCTATTGGTCCAGACCTTGTTCCTAACTACGGACTACACAGAAGAGGAAGTCTGTCAGTCGTGGATACCCTGACCTGCAGCCTCATGTAGTGCACTTCAGAAACACTCTTATCCTAGCAATATGGAGACTGACCTATTGTTAATCCTTCTTTACCTGACCTATGCATAGTCTGTTATCTTTCTGAACCATAAAGATGAGTTTCCCCTTGCCTAGATCAGTGCATACAATCTAGACCATGTTATATATGGCAAGCCTTGAGCAGCTTACAGTACAGTTTAAAGCATAAAATATATTTTTATTTTATATTGCTGAACAATATAAGTAACCAACATGAAGACAGATTGAAACAGCAAAGGAGAATGCTCACAAAGATTTCTGAGCAGAAACACTAGTAACCTGACTGTGCTACATCAAAACAAAGCAAAAAACGTACTGCTCGACTAAAGTGTAATTAGAATGCATACTGGCATTCTTTTAAAATAGCAACATTACAAAGGACTGATTTATTTCACCACTTGCCACCACCTTCAGACCAATAGCAAATCCCTTCTTTTTATACTTTAATGTATCTTTTAAGTTTACCATGTGCATGGAACACACCAGTATCTTTCCTCTGAAATTCATCCATACTGCTGTTATCATCTTTGCTCCACTGATTTTGGATTTTGTAGTGGCTGTCACAAGCCACAAACGCGCAGCACTGGTAAGCATAAGGCATTTCGATTACCCTTTAGAAGAACAGGATATGGTTACACTCATTAAAGCAACTCAGTAGACTTAACCTTCATGTCCTTTGCAAAGTCAGCAATACTAATAGCAATCAGTCCCAAATCAGAGCAATAGAAAATCAGGGTTCTGAGTGGTTAAACGCAAATCTATCAAAAATTAAGGGGGCACATTATTCCAAGAGTCCTGAACATTTCAGAACTTTGCATGTATCTCACCATCATTTCTTTTTTCTAGTGTTCACGTTCTGAGTGCTGTCAAAACAACACTATGCTGACACAAAAGGGAGATATCAGGAGGCATGGGGGACCCCCAATCTTTGTGGAAATACAGATAATATTTAGTGTTTAAGACCTAATTGGGGAAGGCATCCAAAACAAACAAACAAAAAGCAAGCAGCATATTGTAGACTGAGCATAATATAGAATACTGTCTATTGGAGAGGAAGCACAGAAAATCAGGGAGTGAACGAAGGGGCTGCGATTCTGAACAGTGGCACTGCAAGACTGTTGTAGGTCCTGCTTCAAAACAGCAGACTTCTTATCTGAGGGCCAACGGACATAGATATGACATTAATTTTACATTGCATGGCTGATTTTTTGAGAAGGCAAACTGTGTTGTGTCTTTGCTGTAGCTGGTGATGCTCACTCAACCCCCCAGGTTGGAGCATAATGCTGGTACAACACAGCAAATTGCAACCGTGTGGCTCTTGGGCAGGCTTTGAGCCTGCTTTTATGCTCGCACATGCCAGCTCAACCTCTCAAAGGAGCAGGCCATTAACAACTCTCAGATGTTTCAGATGCAGTGTTTTTGCATTGTGAATATTCCAAAGTATTTACTTCCACCCTCAAACTACCTATGTTTCTTTGTAGCTATATACTGCCTACATTTTTTTTCAAAGTGGTAGTTGATGAAGTAACAATCAAACAGGAGGGAAGCATGCCACTATAAAGTATAAATTATACAAAGTAATTTTAGCAAAAGAGGCTTGTATATTTTTTTGGGAAAGTATTGCTGAGAAGCAGATGTGTTTCAGAGTGAGCAGCTACCAGGGTGTTCAAAATCAATCATATTTTCTTGAGATAAAAAAGGATGTAATAAGGCCATAATTTTTACCATGTATGTCTTAGTTTCAGTGCTATGGTTCAAAGACTTTGAATAGGAAGTAACACACATTATACAGTGACACCCCTTCCATTGCACATGAACACAAGTGTGCCTTATTAGTTTTAATGAGGTACTCACTTGAGTTCTGGAAAGTTTTCAGATGATATCAAACTTTGTAGAGCATGATTTCCTGTTAATTTTAGATGAGTTAAACCATATAGGCCAGTTACAGGAAAAGAGGACAAAAGGTTGGATGACAGATCCCTGTAAAATAACAAAGAAAATCAGCTTACAATTCTAGAAGGATGGGATTTTTTTCACTCAAGGGTATTTGTTTTTGTCACAGGTTATTAAGCTAACAAAAACACCGCTCAGCAGAGAATTGATGAACCAGCTCCAGAAACGTCTATCTGGATTCAGTTAAAACACAGCTTTTTCCTTGAGGTCACTAGTAAGAGTCTGTCACTTCATTTTAGAACGCAATTCACTTGGCAATTGTCTTGCGGAAACTTCATTGCAATGAACAGAGGACTGCAAGAACGTTAGTGGATTCTCCTTTTAGTTTTTATTGTGAACAGCTCTTTGATGTTCTAAGGACCCTTTACAGAGGTTGTCCTAAGTCAGTCCCAATGCTTTAAATGGAAATTACTTTCAAACAAGTGTGCTTTGAGTTGCAAGCTAACCAGACTGTCTTGTTTTGGAGCCAAAGAACCATAAATGCAGACATTTAAGAAATTATGGGGTGCCACAACAGGTTCTACAGCAGTTTTCATACTTTGCTGTACAAAAGATTACTGATGTGTTGCACAAAATAAGCATCTCTAAATTCAGTTTCACTTTTACTGCACGACAGTAATATGTGAGTTGTCAAATAGACCTCTGCGAGCAGAAGACGCCTTCAAGGAGTGGAAGGGCTCTTTTGGATTCATATTCTTTTAAATCTCAGAATTGTCTACAAAGCTTTTCATTCTATCTGAAGATCTTACATTCTCCATAGTCCAGTTGTGTGACTGGCCCCCCTTTTTTAAAAAAACAAGTCCTTAAGGGGGTATCAATTCAGTTATTCAAAGTTATAACAACAATTTTAACTGGAAGGTAGCAGAACCCATTTTTCATGCTTAAAAGTTCTTTCTATAGCAGAAAATTGTGCAGTGCCTACCCAAGACCAATAACCAGCATTCAATAAAGACCTTGAATCGTGATGTCTGAAAGAACAATTCAGCTCATATGGGAATGGCACTGCATACCAAAAAAGTAAAAGTGGATGTTTACTTGCTTTCACTGAGCCGTCATACTAACCTTAGACTAGAGCTAGGGTTGGGGTGGCAGAGGAGGAGAGCTTTACTAAATGATAAGGGTTCTCTATATTTTCCATGTGGTAAGAAGATCGGTTCTGTTTCTTGCCAGGCTACTGAATTTCATGTATCGTCTTTTAAGGAATGGCTTGACTACTTGATTTTTATGCATAGTTTTTAGCTTTTAAATTCACATCTCTATCACAAAGCTATTTATGTTCTTAAAAAGAGTGCAATATTTGTAGCAATCACGTTTTTTTAAAAATTGTCACAAATTTGGGGGTGGGGTGGGGATTGTTGTTTTGCTTTGGCCAGAACCATAGTCATATTTCTGAAGTTATGACTCCAGGTTCAATCCAACAGTAAGAGAGCGTAATAGGACTTTTCCAGCCCCCTCCTTCTCTTGCATGTTGTCACATCACTCTGGAGGATCTCCAAACCCTACAGAGCCGATCTGGCAGGCAGGCAGGCGCGCACACACACAGGTCGACAGGGAGGAGGCAGAATTTGATCTGCCGGGGTGTTTGTTCAGCTGAAAGGACAGTACTGGTGACTGGTTGTTGTGTGTTTGGAAGGGGAGGGTTTCAATGGCACACAATATAAAGCATAAAGTAGTATTATTTTAGGCTTCCTTCACTTTCGTTTCATTGAAGAAGCACTGTGCACACAGCACAATTTATTTTTCTTAAGCAGGCACATATCAAAGGTGCGCTGATAATTTAATAATTATCCAGTAATGAGAGCCCCCGCTGAGGGTGCAGCTGCAGCATTGCTAAGGTGGAGGGACTAGGAAGAACCTCCACTTTCAGTTCAACTCTCTTTACATGAGCAGAGGCTTAATAGAAGGCTATTCGAGTTACATTGTCTTATTAGCTGTGAAGTGTCAATAGAAATCTGCATTGTAAAGGACTGTCTTGTATTTTGGAGCCTGAGGTCAAGAAAGGATCTCAAATAGACTAGATCAAAACTCTTTCACATAGCTCATTATATTTGTGCTTGCAATCTACTAAGAAATGAAGGGTGAGCTGCTGCCCCACCATTCCATGCTGGAAACATTTTGTTCCTTTCAGATGATTACGCTGAACATCTTTCAAATGTTTGGTGACATCAACCAGAACCCAAATTGTCTCTAGGGCAGACTGAGTCCTACAAAAGTGACAATATCACTCTGCTTTCCCTCAAAGTATTGGAGTGGTGGGGAGAATCTACAACAGGCAAGCATGCACAGCAAGACTTACAGATTCCAGAAATGTTGGGAAATGTTGACATTTGGAACTACAGTTTTCATGGCGCCAAGCTTCTATGCTACTGATGCCAACAGTAGTGTCCACAGACTTAATGCTAAACCTAAGGTAAGTCCACTGCAACTTCAGTAAATTACGGGGAGATGGATTAAGTTGTAAACCTGAGGGCAGGGATGGTCTTAATTACATTGAACACATAGTCTTGGCTCTTGGAATCTTTCGAGATGAAGAGTGTAATGAATGAACGTAGATGCTACAGTGGCTGGGAGTTGAAATGTATTTATTGCATTCTGGAGAGATTTGGGTCTCATCCTAATTAAATCAAATGGGGGTAGACATCAAAAATCTGGTGTCCATGCACTTCTGTTTCGGATTCTACCCCATCACTAATTAAAACCATCGTCAGTGCAGGACTGCAACACTACTGTGCGGGCCAAAGGAAAACAACTAATCTGCTTTGCTTTTCATCATTCTTTAAATTGTTCTAATCTGTTTTGCTCTCCACTGAATTAGGGGTTTTTTGCCATTGCGTATCTGAATGATCATAACAGGTCTCTACTGAACATTAAAGTAAAGAAAAATAAGCAGACACTTACAGTTTAATCAAGGACAATAAAGAGGAGAATGCATTGGCATGAATGATCGATATTTTGTTCCAAGCTAAATCCCTACAGGAAGGATGAAAATGATATGTGCTTAGTAATACAAGGAGTTGTTACATCCAATCTTCAAATAAATGAATGAATGAATGAATGAATGAAAGAATGGCACGAAATCACTTCCAGTGGGTTGATTTTAGGCCTGTCAGAGTGAAAGAGACACATCCAATTTAAAAGTCACTAGAGTGAAACGACATCCCTGCAGCCAATATTGCAGCTGGAAATTTTGAAGGGACACATCCTTCCCTTAGCTCGCCAAATCAGCAAACCCTGACCTGGTTCATATGTAAAGCCTCTGGATCTAACAAACCCTGGCTTGCCACAGTGTTAATGAGCACTGGCCTGAGTGCTTTCTTATTCCACTCCCCATTTTCCCTTACTCTCAAATATCCAGCTTTCATAGTTCACACATCACAGCAAACTGTGGCTTAAGAAACTAGGAAATCTCCTCTTATGCCATGTGTGCAAGAGGCTGAAGGGAAGGGCGAAGCACTGTGCATACGCTACACCTGGGTTTACTCCACCAAACATCTGAAATGGACCTACTATCCATCACTTTCTCACCTGTCCCTTTCTCTCTTGCGCATGTATCTTTTCCCCTACGTCTCTCCTGTGTTGATTTCCTTTTTGTAACATTTCTCCCACATCTTCCTCTCCCACACCCCCTTCTTGATGCACGTGCTTTCAGGGAAAGTGTTTGTGACTACAAGCACAGTGCAGTATAGGAATGGGTTTCATTGTTTTCAAAATATTATATTCATGCAGTGCTCCACTTTCCGTTAGGCTGTCAATTTTTATAGCTTTATACACTCCGCCCCTATTTCTTTAATATTGTTATCTGTATAAACACCACTCAACTTTTCCTTTCAACAGTCGATTTTGGAGTGTATCTGTAACAGGACAATATATATGATTAATTCAAGCTTCCTATTTTTTCAAGTGAAGTCTACAAATGGAAGCTACTTCAATGGATTTTTGTTTTCTTTGGTTCATGGCTGTGTGAATTCATGCTGGAAATACTCAACGTCAGAATGTTTGTTTTGCTTTGGCAAATCTAACTCGGCAAGCAGAACGATCAAAGGGAAAAAATAGAAGCCAAAATATGTAGGAGCAGGCAAAGGAATGTGAGCTTCCACGACTCTCAGTACCAAGGTAAATACCTCTTTGATAGGTGTACTCACAGTGAACGCAAGGCAACCAGCTGCTGAAAAGTGCCCACTTGGATTTCATATATCTCATTATGGTGTAGGTCACTGTAATAGCAAAAATTGGCTTTATAGATAACAACTTTGGAAGAATTTCAAATGTTGTCTAGGATCCAAGTGTTATTTCAGATGTGCTCAAGAGTTTAGATACATATAAATCCCCATGTCATATTAAACATGGCATTTGAAAAGTAGTCTCAGATTCAGGAGCGGTTTGCTAAGTACATTCAGGAAGTATGGGTCCAAATTTTCCATGAATAAACAGAACTAGCTGTATGGTTCTTTAGATTGTGAGATTTCTTTTAGAGCTTGATGTTCCACTAGAACAGCCTGATGCCCTCCAGATGTTTTGGGCTACAGCTCCCATCATCCCCAGCCAGCATGGCCAGTGCTTAGGAATCTGGGACATTGCAGCCTACAATATTTGGTTGGGGAAGGTTGCAGTAGAACAGGAGTTTCTATGCAAAAGGCATCCCTTCTCCTCCAGAGATGAGTGTCTCTTTATCCTAAAGAATGAGAAGCAGGATTAAAGAGCTGAAAAGAAGCCATAGTGAAGAAGGTGGCGAAGCAAATGGGAGGATCAGAACTCCAATATTTTGGATCAAGGTCTGGATCTTTCACATTGTATTGGAAGTTTCATAGGCAGAGTCATCTAAAAGGCATAATTCCTCTCCACTATCAAAAGTCCTTATGGTTATAGCGTGTCATCCAAGAGGAGACACATAATCTACTAAACAAAGAAAAAAAAGCAGGTGATATGGCGAGATAAAATGTTCCTAATCAAAAAGGGAATATTGAAATAAGGCAACTGAGACTCAAGACATCAAATAAGACATTCAGACTTTTAAGATTATAGTTCTAAAAGGGTTTTTTTTTTTTTTTTGAAACCTTACATTTTCTGAAGTTTTTCACAAGCAGTGAAATGGGGCAGGTCTTTCAGCCGATTATAGGAAAGGTCTCTGAAATACAAATGCAGAGAAAACACAAGGTACATTACTTTGCTAAATAGTAAAACACATTTTAGAATTACTTCTTTCTGGAAAAGCATATATGTGGAAAAGCATGATACTGGATCCAATTGTCCTCCCTTTTAATTATTTAAAATAATCTACGAGATACTTGGTTTTGAAATATTTTTCCCTAGGAGGATCCCATCTTTTTAGTTGCAATCACAGTGAAATTTAATTAGCTTCCCAGACTATACTTTAAATTAAATAATCTTGCTTCTGACCTTTAGAACTGCCATATCTTTAGCTGAGGAAAGTGGTTTGTGGAACTAGAACTAACTCTGAAAATCAATCACTACAGAAAAAAAGGCCTTTCAAATGATTTGAGCCAAAACTCAACAAATTACAGAATAACTGAAACATCTGGGATCATTTATAGTATAATATAACTAATCAAAAACAAGCCATGGTAATTTGCAGAAATTGTAAAAAGAAGAAAGAAAAAAGGGAAATAGATTTGTATCCTGTACTCCTTTGTGCAGGGAAAACTCCCATCAGGTTTAATAGGATGTTTGCCTCTGTAAAGAAATTAATGAAACTGGACAGAAGGATATGTCCTTTGTTTCTGGTTTTTAACCTCAGAAAGTAACATTTTATGTCTGTGTTAATTCTTTACAATTAACTCAAATTTATGTTGCTCAAAAATCAAATTCCCCCTTGCCAGAGAATATTACTTCCCCTGGAATGGGGAAAGTTACATGGATTCCTCCCCTCTACCCTTCCCTGCTTCACAAGGTCTGGGAGATGTTCATTTAGGAGAAAGGAGAACACAGGAGTCACCTGTAATCTTTTCTGAGGAAGGCATGTTTCAGAGGCACAGGGAAGTTAGACTTGAAAGAAGGTACTTTTGCTACCAGAGAAAACACTGGAGATGGGGAGAGTTTCAGAGTGGAGAAGCAAATTCTATCACAGGGCAGGGTAGGGTGAAGGTAAAAATGGTCAGTGTAGTGAAACTGGATAATGAAGTGAGTACCACAAAGATGAGGTATGGTGATGTTGCATCTCTGCTAGAATAATCTAATAGAGCCTCTGGACTTGGCAGATTTTTTGCAGATATTGGCAACAGAGTCTCAAGGAACAATATGGTCCCTGGCCAAGATTGTAGGCTATATACCTTTAAAGACCAAAGACAGAATGGCTGAGTTCACACAACACGTTAAACCCCTTAGGATTTTTAATCACGCACTTTAACCCTGGTGGTTAAAATCCAGCTGAGTCTGAGGGATGATGGTCAAGCGCAGCAGGGTTGCATGTCTCCTTCCCGCCTACCTCCTTCAGCCCTGCAGTATCCAGGGAGAAACTGCAGGAATGTGATGATGTCCCCTGAGCTGCAACAAGCTACATAAGCCTTGCTCATAAAGGGCCATTTTGCTATTATGTTAATATGTTACAGTTAGAATGTTGGCTGGCCCAGCAAACTAATAGGAGATACATTTGTCATGATGTAATTGTTAAAGGAAAGTGCAGTTGGCCCATTCACAAAGAAGTAGACAGAATGATTACTTTTGATAGTGATTAAACTAACACTGCAACATTCTTGCAAGTTACAATAATGTGTTGGTTAATCATTATAAGAAACCAGGTCTCCCACATATCTCAGGAATACTATTCAAAATTCCAGTTGAATAAATGTGGCTTAGGGAGAAAATAAAGATATGGAAAGAAAAAAATCCATTCATATTTTAGTATGTAGCTCTACCAAGTATTTCTGAGCCCAGATGAGATTTATGCTACCTGGACACCAGTGACTTTTAAAAACTGTCTGGAAAAAAAAATAAAAAGCTTGCACAAATCCATATATAGGCTTAATTTCCCCTCAACCCTCTTAAAATATCCGAGTCCATTGCCCCGATGAGATTTAATTATAGTATCATTAGCTTATCTCAATCTACCAGGCTAACCAAGTTTATATAATACTGTTTCCATTACAATGCAAACTCTTTTTAGAAATGCTATCCATGTCCATCTAGTAAACTAGGTGTAGTAGTTAAGAGCGTGGGACTGGGACTCAGGCTATCTGGCTTTTATTCCCCATTCAGCCATGGAGCCAACTGGGTGACTTTGGGCCAGTCACAGACTCTCAGCCCAACCTACCTCACAGAGTTGTTCTTGTGGGGATAAGATTGAGAGCAGGAGGACTAGAATTATGCAAGCCACTTTGAGTTTTTTGTAAGAAAAAAGGTAGGATATAAATCTAATAAATCATCAATAAATGTATGACTGAACTGATTTCACCTAGGTCTCCCACATCTGTGCAGGTGTTCTCATTACAGTTTTGCACATGTTTTTAAACTTGACCTACCCTTGTCTAGTTATTTCTCATTTTAGACCACTGTCACCTAACATTCTCTCCTGCCATCTCTCTGCTCTTTGGTAAATAAATCTAACATGCTTCCCTTCACATCCTGTTACTGTGGTTTACCACTTCTCTCTCTGTACTTTGCACTGGTTCCTAGCCATTACATTTAGCCTTTGCATTTCTTTCTACTCTTCCTAGTGCCATTCTCATATCGCATGCAAGCTATTCTGACAGCTGCATTTGCTGCAGTACCTACAGCCACCTTTTCAGCTACTATCAAGTTATCCATTGAACTCACTCCCCAGTCTGTCCATCGCCTCTTCTCAATTATTTCCTTAAAACCTATTTGAGGTGTAGAACCTTTCCTAATAGGGATTAAGAGCTCAGTTTGCACATGTTATTCATAAGTCTACCCTGCTTCCATGTTAGTTTGCATGTATTATTCATAAGACCATTCTGTTTCCTTATTCATGTTGCTTGAAAAAATCTCCATGAAAACAAATTTATTCCTGCTTGTGAATGTACAATCGGAGAGCCCTTTGAAGACCCTCAAATAACTGGCTCACCCTCTGTGGCTTGGTTTGAAAAACATGCCATGCAATGGCAAAGTGGGCAGCCATGGAAGCCATCTAGAAAGGGAGGTGGCTGGTGCCTGGCATAGCACAACAGCAATGGAGTGCTCTCATGTCATGCAAACCAAGCCACTGTGTCTCCTCACATAATAATGGACGGAATTCTATGTTGTCTGCATGCCAGAGGGACTTACTGCTAATGCAATAGGAAACTACTGGTGCCCTAAACAACCAGAAATGAGCAGAAATGGGAAAAGGACTTAATGATCCATTCTGAAAACTAGCATTTCTTATTTATGGGGCTGTTTTAGGAAGCACTAGATTCTTTATTATATGCCTATTTAGAAGTTTAGAAGTCTAAATGTATATATTTATTTTATAACATATTCTTGATAACTTTTCAAATTCATATTACTCAATGTAAATTACACTTCACACTTACAGTACTTGGAGGTTGGGGAGTTGATCACAGACTGTTTCAGGAAGAGATGAGATCTGAGCTCCTGTAAGGGTTCTGTTGAGGTATAAAAATTACTCACAGTCAATACCTATCACTTAACAGCCTGATCCACTGCCTGATTAAATTGAAATGCCAGAATACATTCCTCTCTGGTGCCCAATGTCAATGTCATAGCACTCTGCTTGTCTTCTTTGTGCAGAGAAAGAACATGCTTGCACCCAGTCATCTCCCTATACTGTGCATATACATTAACCTGCGAGGTAAGCAGCAAAAGCCCATGACTCTTGCAGTGGAAGTACATGTGCAGCCAGGCATGGTGGACAGCCATGCCACCCAAAACCAGGCCACTTCCTGGAGGATAGCTGGTTTTTTGCTGCAAGCCACCATGACCATCCATGGTTTGTTCTAGGCATTGCTGAACCCACAGTGAGTTGTCCCAAACCTGAGAAATATATTGCCATAAAAATCAACCTCTATTTCAAAAGAAGCCCACCCACAAAAGCAAAGCAGTTGCAGCCAGAGAAGAAAGGGGGAGACATGAGAGGTTTTGATGCTCAGAAGCCAGGGATATCATGTGTGTGCCAGGGAAGGATAATCCACTGAGAGCCTGACTGCCTGGCAGATGCACCAAGGGGCCTTCTGTGAACAATCCACACCATGGAGACCCTTCACAGGGTGGACTGTCATGTTTAGTGAACCTGCCCATGGCCAAATCAGGCTCCTCTATGCGCCTCTGTATGGAATATTATTTCACATAGTGACATCGTGTGCACGGCTTAGCAGAGAGGTACCCACCTGTTTCTCCACCCTTCAGATAAGAAGACTGCTGGACCAGTAAGTGCATGAGCCAGGTCACAGTGTCAAAGGGATCAAACTAACTCAAATCTATGAATTCTGGATTAGCCAGGTTGCAGATCAGGTTGCAAATGGGTGGTCGGAGGTCAGCTCCTTTAAAGCAACTCAACATCTGCAATAATCAATGCCATCTGCTTTCAGAAGTAACATGAACTGATACTTACAGGCTTTCCAGGCTTGTTGTCCCGGTCAGATCAGGAAACTCTGTTATCTGTGAAGCACCATTTAATGTCCTAAAGTTACAAACACAACATAATTAGTGTGTCTTTCTTTCTTTCTTTTTTAAAGTAGAGGAGGAGTTGTTTGGGGGGTGAAGTGCTTTAAAAGATATGAATACATACAAGGTTCTGAGTTCAGGTAAGTGCTGAAAAGCAGACTTTCCCACAGTCTGAATAGGGTTGTCATAAAAATGGCTGCGAAGAAGAAGACAAGAAATTTAACTCTTAAGATGCATATCTTCAAATACATGTGCAATAAATTAGGGATGCTCATAAAAGCTTTGAAGCCCTTGCCTTCAATCTGTTCATTACGTCTTCTCTCGCAGGGCTACTTTTAATCTGCTAAAACAGGTTTTCTCCTCTAATTTGTTCCCAAATTACAATTCTAGCCTCATTCTATCTCAGAGCAAATGTATGTTTATGGATCAGTGTGGACTATAAAAGTCTGGAATACCCTGAAATGGATAGGAATGAGATTGAGCATTACTTCAGACATTTGTGTAACAAGTGTGACAGTAAGACACTCCTAAGAATGTCCTCTCCAGAGTTACTATCTTTTCTTCTGTGTGAAGCCTTGTTTATTTTATTGGGTGGCATTCACTGAAAATGAACTTTTTGGTCTGATCTGGATGTAATATGAAGCAAGATAAGCATAAGCCTTGTGCTTGCGTGCTCCATCCCTTTGATTACTAGGCTCAGAACAAGTCAATTCAGAAGCCAGCTTTAAATTATGGATTCAGATCCTTATTTGTTCCAAACCTGCTAACCAAAGTTCTCTAGGAATTTATGGATAAGTCACACAAGAGGTCTTCAGTCATTCATGGATGGAAAAGGTTTGTGCATCACTTGACTTAATTTGAGATATATTACATCCAAACTAAGAGTCTAGAAGAATTTGGCCTCAAACTTAAGCACAATATAAAAAGGCCTTACACTGCTTCAGACAAGTAACTTAAAACACATTTTTCTTCATTTCCTTACTTTTCCTTCTGTCATTGAGATATGTTACTGAAGACATCATGAAACAAGTATGCAACACTTTCATCTGTGTTTGGCTCCTTCACTGCCAACTAACTGAAAGGGTAATAATAAAAATGGTCTTTCTGAGACTGGCCAAAGGAACTTCTTAATTTATGAATTGGCTCATTTATGTGCAGAATCTGGAGTATGTCCATACTTTGCCCATGGTGAGAAATGCCAACATGGATACATGCTTGTCAGCAGACTCCACATGGGCTATATTTTTAAATTGACCTTCACAAATAACAACTTGAGTGCAACAGCATAAAAAGGGACATGGGAATTTGCAATCTTAGTATTGGCACATGGAAACTGAGGATTCTACAATGCAGTTAAGATTTTCCCCAAAATTTGAAGGTAGGTTTCCATTAGTGGAAAAGGGCCCTCCGAAATCTTCTCAAGACTTTTTAATAGCAAGCCTATACATATTTATAGAATCAGGGCTTACCAGTGGGAGGAAGTGGCCCTTCCGTAACCAGTTCAAATGGCTGAAATTTCCTGATAGTTGTAGTTTCTTTCCATCAGGCTGGAAATGAAGTGATAAGGGGAAAGGGTGTGTGCAGGAGGCAGAGAAAGAAATAGCATGATAGGGTAACTCTGTGCCAGAGCTGAGGAGAGTGATAAAGTGTCATGGAGCCGGGTCTTGGGGAACAGGCAAGAGTGGAAGAAGCAACACGGGGTGCAGGAGGTGGGCAGGAAACCTAGTCAAGTTTTTGGGTTGGGGCATTGAAGATACAGTGTCCAGAAGGAGCATGGAAATTCATGAAGTTGGGAAGCACCAGCCTATGCATAGGATAGGACTGACAATGACATTGAGTAATTAATTTCATTTTTTCTATTCACTTATTTTGTGACTACTTACATCGCTATGAGTGATGGATTGCCCACAAATGCCTGTTCGGGTATTGACCTGATATTATTACTATGAAATCCCCTGAAAAGGAAACAACATAGAATATCATACATATATTTGCAAGATATGAACTGCATGTTTTAAAGATATGGTAACGCACGTGTTCCTGAGACAAATTCAGTTCTGTAGAATGCTAGCTGATGCAATAATGGACGGCTTTCTATTCCACCCACATTATGGCAGCAAGGTTGGGGACAGAAACAAAAACAGTTTAATAGAACAGATGGAATATTTTCCTAATTTTGTAGCATTAGCATCAATTTTCTCAAGCCTTTTATACCCTTAATAATCTTCACAGGGCACACAATCATCCCCCTGAAAGCAATAAGATCAAAAGTTATTTGCATTTGATGCTGTCCTGGTTGGTATGCTCAATGTTATGCAGTTCCTGCTGAAGTCCTTCTTTTAGTAATGAGTCCACACATGTTGACTCCAAAGCAGGCCCCAAAGAGTTCAGCAGGACTTTGTCCCCCATGTGAGTGTACTTAGACCATTCTTCTAAGCCTCTTATTGGACAATGTTTTAATTAAAATCAACAGAACTTACTTCCAGTGTGTTTTAGATTAAGGTGCTAATGAATGTGGATTTACAGAAAATCCCAGGGCATCCTTTACATTTTATCTGTTCTCATAGTTTCTTTATGAAAGTATTTTAAATGGACAAGCTAAACAATGTAATTACTCCTATTCAAGAAAGAAGCAAATTGTCTCCCAATTAATTACAGCATTTTATTCACATGAGTAATAATCTATTGTTACAAACAAGAGGAACAGTAATGATTAGTGTGGGAAATGTTCATTTGTTCAATCGGGTATGAACAAAGTTTCCCAGATTTAAATGGAAACACTGGATGGTTCACTAGCACAAGCACCTCTATTCATTGCTCAGGCAAGGTTATCAGCTGCTGAGATTAGTGACCATACTCAGATGGCCCAGAAAACCAGTTGCACTTTAAAGCACTTGCTCTGGAAAAATGGGGAACAAGGGAAGTTAAGGTAGAACACAGCATTGAACAGTTTTGTGGGTATCTAAACTTCATATTAAAACCCAGAGGTTTTCATCATGTTTAGCATTAATTTATCCTGGGGGGGTGGGATAATGCAACAGAGATATTTTCTGAAGATCAGGCAGTGAACTGTTGCAATACTATTTGGTGTGCAGGAAAAATTAGTAAGATTCAGCTAATGTTAATGACTATTCATGCTAGCCTCCTTCCTAATCTGCAGAAAGGTTTGGTGACCATCGTGGTTATTTAACTGGGGGGATAAATACAACTGATAAACTAATGTTAAAATAAAAATAGTTTCAAATATTTTAAACTCAGAACACTATAGCAGGCCTCATTTTAACAGCGACTGTCACCATACTTATATACATATGTTTAGTGTGGAAGCAATATGTGAAGGCATACGGCCTTTTTGTACGTACACACCTTTGAATACCTGGGAGCACCACACAGAGAATATGAGTTTAAAATGTATATGAGAAACTGGCACATGCTCAAGGGAACGGATGAAGACCTCTTAGCTTCAAAAAACCTAGAAGCCTTGTGCAAAGCATCACTGAGATCCATCTAATGGACTCAAGGGGACTTAGCACAGGGAACATGAACATCTTGCAAATGCAAAGAGCAAAAAAGACAGGAAAGGAGACTGGAAAGATACCATCCAAGGAGGAGGAAATCAGTATGTCTTGCCGGCTTCCTATTGCACAATTTGCATTATGTGTCCATATTTAAGTTGACTGTAGAAGAAAGTAGCTTAATAATGAAGCCTGTCTTAAGCACTACCGTGCTATCCATAGTCTACAAGTATTGTGTGCAGGTTAGTGGACTCACAGAGAAGGGACAGAGCCTGTCTTCTGCACCAGGAGGAAACCAGGCAGGCTGCATGGAGAAGGCAAGTGGGCTGTCAGAGGATGGGAGCCTCTTTCTCCATCCCTAGCACTGGAATATAGGGAACTGTTGCAAGAGGGATGGGATTCTCCACAACAGGCTAGTACCTCATTTTTGTAATCTAGTAACTATTGTATCCTGATTGCCAATTTCAGACAATATTTCCAACTGCTAGTAGAAGTACTGTGGTCACTCTTGAGAGAAGCTCCTTTCTTTGTGTATGGATGAGTTACCATGTGCGTAAATGAAATTGCTGTGGAGGATTTGGGAAATTCTGTCCAACGTGTTGCCTGGATTCTGGGAAATGAGGGCTGCTTGCTGCAAAGTCAAAAATGTCACATATGAAGCAATGCAGAAAGCCAGCCTTGCTGGCAGCATGTTTAGAAGATAGCTGAATTTATGTTCAAAGACACAGGGACTGAGAAAGTCTGTTACAAGTCTGATGGAACCATCATTCATCTAGATCATAATTATTTTTTTAATGCATACAGGATGCTTTTTCGGTCATCCTGGTGGAATTTGGAGATGCATCTGCCATATGGCAGCAATGGGCAAAATTCAGATGAATTTGTATCCAAATACCATTTACAGTGCAAAATGTTTCCATATGTTAAATGATAGCCACACTTTAGATGACAGAGCAGGGAAATATAAAGTGAAATAATATAATGGGGAAATGCACACTGCTGTTAGTATGCTCTACTTTTCCTTTTCATCTCCCAGCTGTGACTGCGGATGTGCTAAATAGATGCCTGGCTGTGACACTGAACTGAATGAAGGCTAATAAACTGAAGGTCCAGCCAAGCAAAGCAGAGGTGCTGGTAGTGTGTAGGTCTTCTGACCGGAGAGAGGGGGCTTATCCCATTCTGGATGAGTCACAGTCCCCCTGAAGGAGCAGGTTCATAGTTTTGGGGTCCTCTTAGAACTATATATCCCAGGAGGATCAGATGCCCTTATGCAAAATGAGTGCCCCCTGTCAATTTCTGCTGGTGACTCAACTATGCCCTTATCTGGGCAGGGATAAATTGGTTTCAGTAATCTATGCCCTGGTAACCCCCACATTATACCCTTGAGGTTTGGATGAAGCTGCAGTTTATACACAATGTGGCAGCTGGATTAATAACTGGGACCAGAAGTTCTGAACACGTAAGACCAATTCTCACTGCTTGCACTAGTTGCCTGTACACTTCTAAGGCTCTAATTTTAACCTATAAATTCCTACATGGTTTGGGATTGCAATACCTGAGGAAATGCCTCTTCTGACCTGGATCTACATATAGACTTTGATTACATCTCAGGCCTTCTGAGGGATGCCTTGAAATTTTATTTATTTATTCACATTTTTATAGGCTGCCTATCACTGCCAAAAAGTCTCCCTAGGCAGCTTACAACATATTAAACACACACACACCAACAATTTTATGCTGCATTTTATATTGTATTTTAATATTGTATTTCTGCTACATTCTGTGAATTACTGTGAGCAATCCAAAGACCTTTGACTATTTGAGAGTGTGGAGATGAACTAACTAAATGTTACTCTTAACAGAAGAAAACACAACACACCTTACAAACGGTTAAATTAGGACACGTTTAGGTGGCAAAAGTGTACTGGGGAGGAGACTTTTGTCAGAACTGCAACACAGGGGAAAGGATTAAACTCCTTCAGTATTGTCTGCCTCTCTTCTTTGACTATTCTTGAAAGAGCCCTTGATTCCCAGACATATTCAATTTAACTTAACATATTGTTTGACCCTCACTTATGGTAAATAAATACACTTCAGGGATGTTGTCAGCACTACTGCTTCTCAGAGTGTCCCAGTTCATACATTCAGGATAGCCACTGATTTTACATGGTTGGGATCCCATATCAAAGTTGGAACCATGTGGCATTTGCGAGGCAATCAGCCATATCCATGTCACACTTACAGGGCCCAGTTCTTGCAGGGAAGTGGCTGTGGCAGAGATACATATGAGCCGGATCAATCCATAGGAAGAAGAACTGGCTGCTAAAAGCAAGGTTATATCAGCAGCTATAAGCAGCTTTTGCTTCCTTTGCATTATTCCAAAGGTACTACTGAATAACAAGAAGAGATGGCAGTCAAAGGAATCTGTCTTAGTTCACAGGGCTGAACCAGATGATTTTGAGACTCTCCTCAGAGCAACTTAATTGTTCTTGTAGTTTGTGCAAAGAATTGAGATGAGCCTTTTTCACTTCAGTTGCCCTTTCACATTATCTTATTGATTCCGAGAATTTAGGACATTACAGTTCTAATTTCACTGAAGTTGTTTCAATTGCATTATAAAATGGAGAATCAAGTATCCTCATTAAACCACAAAAATGGTCAATTCATTTTTTTAATAGCCAGTAAAAACAGCAAAATAGTTTCCATTATCACTAGAGGGTGTGTTATAGTTCCATATAACCTTCAAATCTGGATAAAATTCAATTTTATTCATAAATCTGAGAGATCATATGCCAAGGCTAAGAGTGCAGACAGCCCATCAGAATAATACAATGCAATATGGTGGTTTGGCTAAATGATTGTAACACTGACAATCTTCCTTTTTTGTTTTGTTTTTTAAGAATTGTAATTAATCCACACCCATAATGAGAAGCAGAAGATACGTTGTTTCTATCAAAACAAACTTGATCTCCACTGAGACCCACCTAAAGTGTACCTAAGTTCATAATAGGTGCAATTGGTTAGACAGATTTACCCAAGTACATCACAGAAGATCAAGTTTTGTCCTTACTTTATTACATTAATAAACACCCATGCTATCCTATCAACAATCCTATGTGGCTCTATTAAAATGAGATTATTATTTTTTTTAAAAAAAGCTAATTATTACCATTTTTAGAATGCTCTACAGCCTTGGTTCTCAGATCAGCTTACAAGTCAAAACATGGGACTGGATTCAGATTTAGTAACATGCCACTTTACTGGCAGAAGTAGATTTCTTTGTCTCCTCCTCCCCATGGCACGGGGAAGATTACCTGATTTTTGGGAATGTCCCCTCTCCCACCCCACAGCAGGGCCTCCATACAACCTGTATATTAATTAAAGGAAGGAAGGAAGGAAGGAAGGAAGGAAGGAAGGAAGGAAGGAAGGAAGGAAGGAAGGAAGGAAGGAAAGAAAGAAAGAAAGAAAGAAAGAAAGAAAGAAAGAAAGAAAGAAAGAAAGGCTTTTCTATCCCATCCCCTACAAACATCTCGAGACCCCCAGTATAGCAACTGGGGGTGCTGCAGGGAGAAGGGTATGGGGACCTACACTTCCACAAGCCCAGTTGCATAAGTCCAAATCTGGATCCTGTCCATGTAACACAACAAAATCTTCACACTTCAAATGGAACAGGCAGTTAAAATTAGCATAAAGCAGAATGCCAGAGCAAGATGGCCAGTTTCATATCAATTTGTAATTGTAATTTAGGTTTACTTAGGCAATAAAATAGTATTCAAAGCTGGAAAACCAAGCTGAAATTTCTTTTTCCTAGGCTGGAAAACAAGGGGAATCTCTAGTAGGACTCAGCTACATCCTACAGTCAGGATGATAAAGCCACCAGCACTGAAATTATGTGCTGAGCATTGGGAATAAGGAATCTTTTTAGATACCCTAACTTCAGTACTTACAGTTCTTTCAGGTTTCTGAGTGCTCGGACAGAGGTAGGGAATTCATCCAGATTGTTGTAATTTAGATCTCTTGATTAAAACAACGACAAGAAGAGGATATCATAGACTGAATTATATAGTATTTGTTCATCTTTTCAAGGATACATCTTCATTGTATTTATAAGGTTATAAATCATTGCCTGCATTGTATCTAAAGACTACACATTTATAGAACTTATTTAACGTTTAGTTTATTTTTATACCTGTATACTACTAACTATTCCAACAGGCATCTCTAAGCAGCTTACAACAATAAACTTCAAGAACACAATACATTTATCAATATTTCTAACTGTTTCATCTTCCTTGTTTATTATTATTTTGATTAGTTAATCTAGTCCCCCAAATAATCTTAGTTTTATTTCCTTTACTGAGAAAACCAGACTGAAAGCTGAGTTCTGTTATTCTTAAAATCAGTGTCAACATCCTAAATTACTTTGAACGAAAAGAAAAAAAATGCAATTATACTTTTTAAAAAAGGTAACCAAAATAAATACAACTTCAGGTACTGCAGTTCACTACAGATTAAAACCATATACATTAAAATTTGTATCAGGAAATATGAACTAGTTTAATCTATTTTAGTTGGCCTAATTCAATCTAAGCAAAAATATGTCACACTTGATAATGACACAAGATTGTGCAAGGAACACCTACTCTCTTCAAATGCCACTGATATGTTCTATGCCGCTACTGAAAGGAAAAGTATAACTGATTTCAGGATTCATCATAAACTACCAGACTCGGAGCCTGTAGTGATCTGAAAAGCATGTTTAGCTTTTTTAGTTTTGCAGAATGTCAGTGAAAACACGGAAAACAAAGCATAATGAACGAAAGGTCAACTCACAAAGTCTCTAGGCTGTGGAGACCATCAAAGCACTTCTTTCCCAGGGAAAAGATTCTATTATTATGGAGATGCCTGTGGTAGAAAGTTAACAGCAAAGTCAGAAGAACATGCTGTGCACAAAAGAATCAAGGGAAACATATGGATGGGTAAACCTGCTGAAAGTTATCCTTTTCCAGGCCTGTGTGATTATATGAAAATCAGGTTTTCACACAGGTATAGTGGAGAGGGATTCTACCTGTCACTTAGCCATTTTGTTTCCAGGCTCTTTCTCCTAAAGTGCTTAAGTTCTCTACTTCTCACCTTATTTACCTCTCTACCCTTCACATATAACTAATTCAATTTTTGCTCTTTGTTCTCCTTTTCACTCCAACATCCAGTATTTCCTTTTTACAATCGCAAGGGCAGCTACTACAGTTAGAGTACACAAGGACCAATCTTAGGGTCACAGTCCTATGACCCCCATAGCTCATCGGACATCGGGTTCTCAGACCTGTCATTGGAGACAGCACTCTGATCCGAGAGGGGGGGATCTGCGATCTGACCCCCCTCCTTCCCCTTGTGGCCAGTGCAGAAAGAAGAGGCCTCATGGTCTTTCTAAGATTGCAAATAAGGCTGCAAGAGATGAGGAGGAGTGGTTGGTGGAGTGGAGGCAGGAGAAGTCAGGATACAAGCTATCCCATGATCTTTCTGGCCTCTTCCCCCTCCACCAAAATGTTTTTGCTACACAGACACAAATGCTCACCAAGACAGTTCATCTGCTACAATGGCCAGAAGAAAGGAGAGCCACTCTCCTCGCAGAGACTATCCCAGTGGGTCTCCAGCACTGTCAACTTCCACCTCCACCCTTCCATGCAACTGAAGGTCTACTCCACACAAGCATGGACCCTGTCCATGGCCCTCCTTACACAGAATCCCCCTGCAAGACATGTACAGAGCAGCCATGTGGTCCATGCCCTTGGTCTTCATCAGACGCTACTGGCTGGATGTCCATGCAAGTGCAGACCGCTCATTCAGCATGGCAGTCCTTTCTTCCATTCTACAGTGATGACAGCATCCTTCAATCCTTCACAGGGTAAGCTAGCCAGTCACCCAAATGTGTGCAGCACAGAGACCACACAGAAGAAAGACCGGATGATTACTTGAAACTGCTATTCTTTGAAAAGCCATTGGTGCATTCACACATCCTACCCTCCAGGCCCGCTTGCTGTCATCTCTCCAGCAGTTGCTTCCTCACTTTCCATGGATTCTTGGGGCTGGACTGGGTTGAGGTCTTTTCTCCTCCCCTCAGTCCAGAGTCCCGTGGCAGTTTCTATAGGAACTGAGAGGATGGGCAAGAACCTACTCCATGCTTCCTGAGAACAGGAAGGGGGCTTCTGCCCAAATTGAACACTTAGCTATAGAAGTCTTCCAACAATAGGCTCTGCAGAGGTGCAAAGGCCCATAAGACCTTTTTATTTAATCGATATTTTAACTTGTTTTAATATTGAGTTTATTGCTGTGTTTTATTAACTTGCAGCCAGAGTGGGTTGTCAATTTATTTATGCTGTAAGCCATCCAGATGCAAGCAATTGGATGGCATACAAATTTTATAAATAAATAAATAAATGTGTGAATGCACAGATGACCACTTGAAGAACATCAGTTACAAGTAAGCAACCTGCCTTTTTTCCTGTTGAAAATGGGATCAGATTTTCCATTCTACTCAAAGATTTGTATAATTTGCTGCACATAATAATGATGCCGACAAAACTGCAAGATGGCAGAGTGGGTGACTAAATGTTAATAAAGGAAACATCCTTTCTATGCCCACAAAAAGAGAATGCCGAATCAGATGTTGTATTTGGATACAAATGAACCAAAGAAAATCATTCTTTTATTTCTTTTCTTTTTAAAAAAAATCAATTAGCATTTTAACAATTACTAGCATGATCGTTTAGTATGGTTTGCATTTGTGGTCCATGTGTACATATCTTTGGATGCTCCCTTTATACCTCATTATCCTCCTTATCCTCTTAATCTCTTCACTCATGCAATAATCTCAGAACCTGATTTGTCTGCCTTCTCTAGATCTTTCTTTACCATTACTGGATATAATCTGATGTCACAAAGGAATCTTGCAGGCAGATATCAGTAGTTCATCTGTGGCCAATAGCTTAGATTTCTGTGAGGTCACAAAGGAACTGGGCAACTTTCAATTATTCAGCTGAGATCAAAAGCAGATTTGGATCACATCAACATTTTAGCATGTAAGACCTACTTTTGTTTTATTGCTCTGCTTAACTATTACCTGTATACTTTACAATTCCAAATTATATTCTGTTGGGGTAGATTAGTGGAACTATTTTGGAATTTTTGGAAAAGGTGAAAGGTATCAATTACTACTTAGCTATATGTATTTATTTCATTAATTAATTAATTAGAGTTTTAGAAAAAATCTGCATTGCTGAATCCTGAGTTGACCTGAACCCCTTCAGACTATTTCTGGGACTCTCCAGGGTAAAGTAGACATCTCTCCAAAGTGAAAAGAGCAGAAACTGGACCCTACACAAACCTCCCCCACAACCCAGAATTTAGCTTTGGAAAAAGCAGACAGCATATCTCTCAAATCAGTGTCTTTTGCTTCCCCCCCCACCCCCACTCCCGCAAACCTTGATAGGAGGAAAGAAAATGGAGTGAGATTGAGTGATAGGAATCTTAGGATATATTTTACGAAGGGCTCTCCAGAGACTATGACTCGGAGTAGGGCAAAGATGGCACAAGGAAAAGGCCATTCTTCCAATATCAACAAAGATAACTCTAGAAAAAAAAATTAAACTGGTTTTCAGTCACCATTAACTCCCCAGCCCCTGCACCCATCTGTTTGAAATTCTGAAAGTGGCTTGCTCAGAGGTACCTGTGTGATGGCTGACTCTTCATACAATTGCCCCAGGAAAAAGAAGGAGAAGCAGATCTTTCACCTCAAATCTGAGGTCTCCCCTTCCACATAATCTGTTCCCTTTTAACTAAACAGTCACGTGAAAAAGCCACTATATCTTAAAATGTTTGTTTACTTCTGAAGCAAATCTCAGGATCAGACTACAAGCAAAACTTATTTTCCAACAATTAATTTCATATCCCTTTGCATGTGTGAGAGAAGATAAACTACATCTTTAAATAAATGCAAGAATAAAGAAATGCATGAACGTTTAGAGCCCATCCACCTCCACTTAAGTACTAGCATTCAGTTGGCGTTGTTCACTTATTTCTGGATTTATCCAGCATTCCACATTTTTGCTACTCACTCTGCTAATAGTACATTGTATTTCTCAGTAGGTTTATATTAAATTATTTCAGAATGTCAACAGCATGAAGTCCTTGATAGAGTCAGTTAACCGTGATGTTATATTTTTGAAATGCAAGGAAAACTTACAGAACTACTAAGCTGGAGAGGTTTCCAAAAGCATAATCTGGAATATGGTGTATTTTGTTCAGTGCCAGTGTCATTGCCTGAAGTGCTGGCAAACTCCGGAAGGCTTTCACTGGAATTTCTGACAAAGAGTTGTCATCTAGCCACAGGTGTCTTAGTGAAACCAAGCCACTGAAACAGTTGGGAGGTACGAAGCTGATATGGTTAGCATCCAGACGCCTAGGAGAAACATAAATGTAGAAGTTAGATGTTATATAAAATCCAGTGTTTTATAAATGAATGAACTGAAAAGGAACAAAAGCCACATGTTTTTGCATTTCATAGTTAACATGTCCCATTTCTTCTGTCTTGCAACTTTGTCCTAATTTCTATGGGGCACAATACTTGTTTATAATAGACTTCAATATTTACAAGTGCTTTATATCCTACTTTTGGTTGTCCTTGGAAGTCTAAGCACCTGCGGGGTCTTTGGAAAAAAAAAGTTCCCCCCCTTCCCCTGACTGGGGTAGAGCCATCTTCAAGAATGGCAAGGCAGCCTAGGTTTTAAGGAGCCAGTGTGCCATTTCCATGCCTTTGATCATCACCCTGAAGATGTGTAGCATGCTTTGATCCACATGAGCTCCCAGTAATTCATACAGTTGGTAGGAATCAGGCAGGACTGTACTGGTTGTGTAATCCATATCAAAGTACAGAACAAATGACCACCCAGGGGTAAAGATACCTGACTTTTCTGTGGACAATTCCTCCATGGCTGTTCAATTATTATAGCACCTGCCTTGTGACATGGGTGCCGTTTTTAAGAAAAGGCCTTATAAGTGTCACTTTGGACCTTTGATGATCACATTGGATTTCTTTGATGACAAACTGACTCCACAGTGGTAATGCTTGTTGCTAGTTTTTCTGCTAAAACTACCTCAAGTTGCTTAGACAGCAAGTTCTGTCAGAAGTGTTTGACCACTACAAGCACATTGATTTGGACAAGTAAACCACCACTTTTTTCTGCATTCATCATGTATGACCCATCCCTTAAGAATACACAGATATTAGAAATGCATAGCCCTATGGGCAGGTGTGCATACGCTGTCCTAAAGAACAGGAATTTAAGAGTACTTCACTGGCAACCCAAATCACATTCAAAAAGAGCTGATGTTAATGGCTGGTCATCTCTCCTGTATATTTTTCAAGTTGAGATTAAGGGTAACAATTTAGCAAGCCTCTCTTCTACTTTAACACACTGTTCTCCCTGTGGTGCATTTAATGCCCAGAACTTCTAACTGAATGCAGCCAGCGATAGCTGAACAATATCACATTGCTTTTCTTCGGAATTCTACAGGTGTCATTCTGCACTTTCCTCAGTGCTATGGCACAAATGCCACAGTTTATTTTCACACATCATGAAAGTCAAAGCCACAAAAGGTCTGCCTGCAAGCAGACTTTTTGTTAGTGCACAAGGCAGCCACCAGTTCAACTGCAATTCTTCAGCAGCTAACACAGAGACCCTCGTGGTTTTGCAACTGGGGATCTGGCCCGTTTGTGCAGATCTCACTGCTCCTGCATCCAAGTTTTGAGTTACCCTGCAGGGAGAGAACTCCCGCAGTTTTGGATAAAGGCATAAAAGGGCTAGCCTCTTTGAGGACTACAGTTCTGCCATAACCATTCATAATCTACCCTGAATTAGAGCTATGACTTATTTTTACTGGATTGAGTCGATGTAATGAATCAGATTGCTTGAGGCAGGGCAAAAATGGCATTTATTTATCTGACATGAATACATGTCAAAGTTTAGTGTGCCTTCCTGAACTATGGCACTCAAGGCTGTATGACACCAACAAGAACTTTTTACAAACAAGAATGCATTATTTAGTATAATTTTACTGTTGCGGGTAATTTCTTCTTTTTTAAAGTGAAATTTTAGTACTTGTCTTTAGATTGCCAGGCTCTAAGAGGGACAGCAAGATGTTGTTTAAACAACCAAGTAAAAATCACAAGAATGTGAACTAGCTTATGTGCTTCCCCAAACTCTTCCTTAGGCTTGATGATAAATGAACAAACAAACAAACAAACAAGAAAAAACAGTATAAGAAGAGGAAAATGGGACCAGGTGGAATGGGGAGATGTTATTGGGAAAGAATATAGTAAATGCAGTTCTGCAGTGATACAGGCTGAAATGATACAGTCTTGAGACAGTGATTCAGGAACCTGTTATCAGACTAACTACCTCCAAATGTAGTCAGATTAAAGCATGTCAAGAAAAGGAAAGCAATGCTAAAATAAACTTACATTAATAGAAAGATGCAGACAGACTAATCTTGTGCAGGACACAAGTAATCCAGCACAAACTAACCTAACTCATTTGAAAGAAAGGAAGCTTTGTGGCAAGCATGCTAATCTCTTTACTTAAAGCTGCTTCTTCATTTACAGTCAAATAAAATGCCTATCCCCTTGTCCACAGTCTTTCTACCTACTGCATGAGAACAAATAACAGTTTCTGTGGCTTCATGCCAGGCTGGCAAATAACTGAGACAAGGTCAGTTGGAACAAATTTATAAAGTTCAGTGTCAAAGCCCTTTAACAATTAAATTTTCAATATAATAACTGACATGGCAGGCCATAGGGACACAGCTTCCAAAATAGTTCAGAAAGACTGTCAAGAAACTGGAGAAGCTGGAAATGTTTAGAAATACCCACCCTGAGCCTCTCCTTTCTGCAAAGGAACAGCATATTTTGAGCTGTGCAAGTAAGATATACTTTAGAGAAAAATATGGAGGGTTTTTTTCTTTTTTTTGCATTTAGTCAGAAATAAATTTCTTGTCTGTGTGATGTTTCTGTCTAAGCCAAGGACTTAAGAGTTGCACTAGCTTGACAGTTACACTGATTAAAGGGAGAAAAAAGCTTTAATCAATTCCCATGTTTTTTCTCCAGCAGGAGAAACATCCTGGCTTATATATGACCTAGATCTTACAGCTTTTCCCTCCAACTCCAAGGTTGCTGCTTTATACCAGTGAGGATTGTGATATATTAGGCATCAGCCTAAACAATAAGCAGGCATGCTCTATACCAAGCCAAGCTGCATCACAAAATAAAAATTTCATATGCAAAATTAAGCATTAAGTTTCATAAAACCTATATTTTGCAACATTTTTCTCTGAGTTATCTCCAGGTTAAATGGTTCCCCCTGGGAAAGTGCCATCTAGTACCTCCTGCCAACCCCCTGGTAGGCAGCAGTAATGCTGGGTAACTCAACAATTTGTGGTGAGCAGCTGCATACGATATTACATTTCCTATCAATTTAATTGCTCATAATCCCCAAGGGAGGATGGTGGCTGTTCTGTGTGGAGGGGTGGAGGACAAAGGCTGAGCCAAAGGGTCATGAAAGGTAGAGTCCTCTTTGATTCCCCAACTGTCATCAACCCAGCCCACGGTAAAAGAAAACTGAAGTGCAGAACACACAAAGGGGAGTTGGAGCGAGAAAATCACACAGCCACACAGAAGCACTTGTCTGGGGCCACATTCGCCTGTTCCAGCAGCAATTCCCATTCCACAGAGAAGCAAGTCATTCTAAGATGTGGAATAACAAGTGAGAACCTATACAATTGAAATGGGACATAATATTTTCAGAGCCACACAGAAAAGCACAATAAAGAATCCAAAAATCCATGCCTTTCCACAGCCATCAAAAAGCATCCACCACACCAGGCCTCCTCAGAAGCAGCACTGTATAACATCCTCAGATTATGCTTTTCTTGTAAGGAGGACTAGATTGCACAGGGGAATGTATGAGTATCCCTTTGCATGTGATGATGATGATGATGTATATCCCTTATAAAGTATATCCCTTAGGAAGCCAATAGAATACCACAAATAACACACACACACACACAACCACAAACCATAACACTGATCATGATGATAATGATGATCACGATTAGAATAAGATACAATATCCTCAGAGCCACACAGAAAAGCAATCTTTGAACACACACACGTGACCAAACCATACAGACACACATATAGTAACCCCAGTGCAGACACGCTAACAAATCCCAGACCAGACCACACGCACACCAGACTATACACACAAATACCTACCATGCCCTATGCAGACACACACAAGTACACACACAACCAGACCATACAGACAGACACACAGCAAGTCCAGACCATACACACAAACCCAGAACATACACATAATGCATGCATGCACACACGCACACCTTCAAGAACAACCTTCCAGTAATGCAGCTGGAGCTGTTCTCACTTCACCTTTGTGGAAAAAGGAACAGGATGTTCTCGCACTGGCTCCTGGGACCTCAAGCTTGCCCAGAAGACCCACTTCCTTGAAGATATAAGGGGTCATTTCTGATTGGCCAGTTCATGCTATTAGCTTTAATTGAGCCATTTCCCCCTTCGGGGTGATAATACTGCCTGGCGATGGGCACAAGGCAAACTCCAAAATCTTTCACTTCAAGGGAAGTCCCTGGAGCTTGAGGAATGCTCTGAGCATGCACAAGGAGTTTTTACATGTTCCATTGTTGAATGGAAGCTTCCTCTGTCAGCAGTGGCTGAGTAAAGATTTTTTTTTATTTTCAAAATGTAGGGTGGGGGGTGGCAGCAGAGGAGAGACAAACAGCATGTGAGCATCCAGAGTGCTCTCTCATTGGAATTGCCCCTCACAATGCCTCAGTATGGCATTGTGCTGAAGCATTGCTTGAAACAGAAACATTAAATAACTCCCAGCTCCCTGTTAAAAGGTAAAAAGGGTAGTCCAAATCAGCAGTTATCAACACCCATTGACCCTCAGTGGCTGCCTAAGAATGCCAAGTGCCAAAGCTGGACCTGATTTTCTCAGCTTATTTTACACTGATATCAAATTATTTCCAAGTGTAAACCTTTTGGCTAGAAGATAAACGATAGCAGACAACTGTATCTCGAGATTCATTCCCATGGCTGCCTCAGACACGGATAGCTATTTGCTACTGAGAGCAAAGCGTGATCTGTGCGGTTGTCTGTGTGTGACAGTCACACAAGTCCCTCAGTCTGCAGGACCAAAGCCAACCAATGCTAGACTGAGGCGAGGGTGTGAAGGGGGTTGAGAGGAGGAAAAGTTTGGGGTATGGCTGAACGGGACTGAGTTACATAATGCAGGGACAGTCAGCACAGAGGCATCAAGAAGCCTACTGACTCTTTTCTAATCCATCTGCGATGAGAGGAAATGCTAG